ATTTCTACAGATAATATTAAAAAACAACTCCGTAGATCACATTAAATCTAATGATGGTCAAGGCGGAATCTCAGAAGTGTTGTTTAGTCATTGTTCAGACGTAATATTTGTCCCACTGGCTATATTTTTCAAAAGTCTATAGATACCTGAATATTTCCAACTGTTTTTAAACACGCCAATGTTGCCCGGTATATAAGATGGGGCAAATCAGTTGCGATTAATCACAGATCTGTATAGCTTCTTTCTATTATCAGTAAGGCGGTGATTTTTGACTTGAAGCCATTTACATCTGGATCGCAACATGGCTTAATTAAACACCGTTCAATCTAAATAAATCTTGTATTCTACGTTAACATTTTAGCTGATCGCACTGATAAAAAAATTAAAGTTGACAGTGTATATACAGATTTTCCTAAGGCATTCGATTCGGTTAATCACAGATTCCTCGTTTATAAACTGCATGCATTTCAGGTAGTAAGTTGGAGATATTTGAATCGTACTTGAGCATGCGCAAACAAATCTTCATTGACAAACATTGTACAAACATATACCAAGTCAAGTCAGGGGTGCCTCGGGGCTTTTTGCTCGGCCCTCCGCTTTTTAATGTGTCCAGTGTTTGTCTATGAACTTCATGTCTGTTATACGCCGATGATATTAAGTTTTTAAAACCCTGACAACAATATTTCAGACTGCATGGATTTGCATGCAGATATGCACAGTATTTATTAAAGCGGGGGAGTCGCCACCTGCGCATGCGTCAGATGACCATAGCGTGTCATTGTTTACAAACAAATGTCTACCCATGGGACTCAATAGGGGATTTTCCGTACAATTGCGAGATCTCGCGAGATGTATGAAAAACGCGCGTCGAACGTCTGCTGCAATAATCGAACGATTTGATTTTGAACTAGAATTTCTTTATTTCGTAACTCACAACGACCGGCCGATCTTCGACAGAGGAATATTGCTTCCGAATACCCTTACTTAATCAAAATTGCCTATCATCAAATGTGGACAGCACATTATTAAGCATGGAAATGTCCCCCAAAATACTTCGCGTTTGTCGAATCCCACGCGATGTTTGACGCCACTACGACGCTATGACCTTTGTTTGTCCTGTTTTTACGTTCGATTTCACGCATAACGCGTGATTCTCGCAGTGAACGGAAAATGGTCTATTCCCACGCGTGCGCAGGTGACAACCCTCCCGCTTTAAACCAAATCATTTACCAAAAAGAAAATTGTTATCAAATTGGATTATGTGATGAAAGACAGTAATTTAGCATGGATCGGTCAAATTAGTTTTTAATGATCATAGTTATAATACTGTAAGTAAGTCTCTTAGAGCACTCGGTTTTTTAAAACGCAATAGTAAAAAAAAATACTACAACAAGACTTTGAAAACGGTATATCATATTTATTTGCAGCTTTGTCCGATTGCACTGATTCGTATCCGCTCACCACTCTCTCCACGAACTATGGAGACAGTGAGCTGGAACATTATACATGCATCTTGAAAATTCAAGATGGTTCGCAGTCGTGTGAAGTATTGCACAACCATACTGTGTCCATTGAATAAAACACACATAAAACTAGTGCAACGCTACGTATTCAGTACAGTGAAATGAAAAGGGTTTGCCTTAGTTTATAAATTTGTAAATTTGTTTAACATATTTATAACAATTTGTAAATTGGTTTAACATATTTATAACAATTTGTAAATACCAATTACCAGCTTCATTCAAATTTAAATATTTAATAATGAGTCACTCGAGAGCTCCACATTGCCTACGCCCATAATGCACCGCGCACAAACCTTCAAGTGACATAGCAACGGCGACCGCCCACTTATTCAAAATGAAGGGCATGCTTCCATATTGGTTCTAGGTTCGTCAATTTGAATTCTTCTAGTCATTTATATTTATAAAACGTTTATAACATCCCAAGATTTATGCTTTCACTGTAGGAAAGCGAGAAATATTCTTCTTTATCTTCCTACTTTATAAGGACCCCTTAGTTACGTTTAGAACGCGTTTGCAATTACATTCCAGGGAGTAAAAAACATACATAAAAAATTGTAGGTTAAAATAACTTATATAAAAATTTAAATAAATTTCAACATAATATTGACAATATTCTGTTTGATACACGGGTTTGATTCCCCTCTACGTACGTTGATCTCATTTCTAATAAGGTTATCGGTATCTAATTTCACAGCTTCGCTAGGTACGTACGCGGTATCCGATTTAATAATCACTTGAGTGACAGTGACATGACTGCCTGGGACTCCGTAAATGAAGCATATCCGTTAACGGTTGACATGTATAATGATCTTGTTTATATCATCAAACCCTTTCAATACGTACCCGTCGATAGTGTAAGAATAAAATTTCTTTCACAGAGACGACACGGCACGAACGCGTGGTATTTTGACACGGCACGAACGCGTGGTATTTTGGCACGGCACGAACGCATGGTATTTTGTTGAGTGCGTCATCAGTTGCGCCATTTGTATTCAGTCTTGTTCGCAGCTAGCAGTGATTTAAATATATATCTATCGCTTCTCTTATTAACAGGTAAATGCTGAATAGTTTGTAGTCGATTGGTGGAACGTGTGCGTGAAGCAACTGGTGGCCGGATGCGCATCATTAAACCAACTAGAGCAAGCTCACATGCTGGCGTCGTATCACGCGCACTAGTAACCTGCAAATGGTCTGTTCTCTGCACCTCAAACCTGTTCAGATTCAACACCCTCAACTCATATTCCAAACCACCCATGACGATTTTTGTAGTAGCTACAAATGAGGAGAATTCAGTAGAAATTATTGTGTCATTGCCCGTTAAGCACCAGGCAAATATTAAAATAGTAGTGTGATCGTATTCGATAAAAAGGACCCAATTTTGTCGCGTTGATTAGCACATCTACAAGCACAATATCACGTCGTACGAGATACAAGTTACACACCGTCTCACCCTTTTGGAGAGAGTGGTATAAATCATATTTTAAAGCGGTGGAGTCGTCACCTGCGCATGCGTCAGATGGCCATTGCGTGGCATTGTCCACAAACAAGCGTCTACTCAAAAGTCTTTGCGTTTTTAGCGTGAGTTGTTATCGTCGCTTGGGACTCAGTTCTCGCGCGTGCGCAGGTGACGACCCTCCGCTTTAAGTGAAGCACCTACAATGTAATAACATTTGTCTATAAAACACATTCAGTATATTAATAAACTTAGATTAACTGCACAAATCTGTATCTTAGTTTACGCTTTTAAAAACTAATGTTAATGAAACTGCTTTGCTTCACATACACGGAAGCTAAAAACACCGTTCAATTTTGATTGTTTTTAAACGGCCAGATCTATTCATGTCATCCACGATTATAGTGAAATTTAATTGTTTTCCTTCGTCAGTGGAAGTATACCAGAGTCGTCTTGGTGACAAGTACAGCACGTAGCACGTTAACACATATATTTGCATAGCATTAGTACTACTAGTATCAAGTGCTTTTCAGAAAATGCCCAGGTCACTCACGGCACTGATGTCGCCGCCAACGACACACACTAATAGTATGTCATATTCGATACTTAGTTTGCGCGATTCAGCGGAAAACTACACTAACAAATGTCGCCATGGTAACCACTGACTATATAAAAGCTGTATATTTTTATTCACGAGACTAAGGTATACATTTCAGAGATAAAACTGTGCTACAATCTACCAGTGATATAATAAAATTCAAATTTCGCACTTGAGCATGTCAGTACTGCACATATATGACGCAATGCATTATGGGATAGAACTTCGGATTGCATATACTGGAAAACAATTATTATACCGGAAACTGACGAAATTGTATGTACTTTTAAAACGTTAGGATTCATGTCAATCATAATTCAATACTTTTTTCATCCATGTGCAACGTTTTTAAATATGAAAAATATTCTCACCATACAAACCAGTGTAAAATTGCCAATTTTGATAATTTTCTATGACATTTCGCACTGTTGTATCTCGAAAAATTTTCCGGTGACCCAATTGCTTTTTTGCTTACATGATCTTCATGGTATGAATCGGCAATAATTAAAGTAAAACGAACATGACATGACATATAATCTTTAATTGGGATAGAACTTTTTAATTAAATTAATATATATTATAATTAATTATAAGCATAACATTACAAATACGACTAAATGGGTAGCTACACAAGTTGCATATTGTGATAACATTATTTAGTATTTTTGATGGTTGACAGACGAAACAAATAAACATATTCTGAACATTTAAATTACTGGCCACTGATGTTGTTGTCATGGAAACCAAACCATAATTACCAAACGGACTCTTGTTTAAACTATAACTTATATTCAGATCCACGTGATTTGTTGAGAAGGGAGGTGGAGAGGGGGTGGTGAAGCCAGAATCTAGTGAGGATTCAGCCGGTGTAATGAAACTGACATGAATTGTTAGTTGTCAGCTCATGAAACTAGAGGAATGTGCTGTCACTGGCATTTACCGAGCAACACTTTTTGTATTTTATTAATCATTGAACGAGCCAATGAGGCACCATTTCGCCCATTTCCAACGTTACGCTTCCCGTTTAATTCTCCCATTGCCATGGTAGCAGATTAAGTGGTGCGCGCGCACTGTCTGTAGCTGATAACCACACCGAGCAGCGCGTCACGTTATGCAAATTTAAATGGTTAGTTTTTATTGGCGAGTGGAGACCCTTTTCTTTCAACGTGTTGTGATAATTTGGGCGCACTTTATACACACCGTACTGAGGCACTAGATCTAACACATTTGGCGTTACGCAGTCTTACACCAGTGTCTGAATAGAGTTTCATTAAAAATATCTCCAGAGTAGAGCAAGATACAAATCATCTCAAGGGAATTGATGGACCTAGAGGAGACGGTTCTTATTCTCGGATAATCAACACGATCGCATAATTGTACACGTACCGTACGAGGGAGCAATCGACGAAGAACTCCGCGAGTAATGATGGCCACGTGGTGCAAGGGACTAGGATTAGTTTGCTTCCTTGCTCTGCCATGGCAAACTATCTCCACGAGCTGCCAATGCCCGACACCAAATCCATGTGAGAACGGTGGTCAATGTGAGGGTGATTGTGGACCTGATGGGTTTATCTGTTTCTGCTCATCTGGCTATACAGGGAACCGCTGTCAAACGAACGTTGGTGGTAAGTGTTCATTTTAGCCTAGTAGGCGGCTAACCATATTTTTCATCCTACTGTACTTTAATGTTTCTTCACTGATCGTTGCTACCAGCTAGGTTCCTCGACATACATTTTCTTTCCCATGGAATAGACAGAATGCGAAAATAAATACCCCTTTCATAACATTTTGCAACAAAATGTTGTTGTCATTTGTTTTGGACGACGTTTTTTTTGTTGATTTCCCTCGCCAGAAATATGTGATGCGTTTTTGTTTATTTTCAAGGATTGCTGAATTAATGTAGACCCAATTCCTAGAAAAGTCTTTTTCCAGACTCTGAGGCTAAAACATAACACAGACAACATTGGTGGCACACTTTTTTTACATCCGGTCTATAACAACCATATGACAGTTACAGTGTCCTCATGACAGCTGACAACAACGAATTTTCCTCATCACTCAGCCGTAAATGACGCGAATTGATTCGCACGATATGTTCATCTTCAATGTTGGCCGTTTGATTGGTCGTGTAATCCACTCAACCTTGATCTGTCAGCGATGCACACACGGTCATTGCTTCAAGATGGCTCTACCCAGGTATGAATTCACAGTAGAAATTCAAGCGAACGGCGATCAAAATTACTCTGACTGTGAAAAGATATTAAGCGTAATGTAAGTCACCGTGTTGCACTAGAACAGGAATGTGTGAATGAATACGCCACTCTAGGCACCTCTTACATCACAGTGTTATTGTTTATCAACATCCCAGGACCCAGTGTATATCATAGAGGGCGGGGGGGGGGGGGAGTTCTGATCTGGGTTGTGTAAGAAAAGTTTGAACAGGATTGAGATTAGTTCGAGGACGGGGAACTGATTTAAATATGATGCCCTCAGATGTCCATACACGTAGTTTGCGTAAATTTTAATTGTCCACCCATGTTCAACGATATTTATCCCCCGTCAAATATGCCGACTTATTAACTAAAAAAAATAGAAACCGTTTTGCATCAGTCCTACAAAGGATGATGTAACTACATATATATTACATATAGGCACAAACGGATATATTTCAAATGTACAGAGATAACAGTCAACAGGGCCCCTTAACGCGATTTACATGAACGTTTCATTAGGCGGAGCACAATCAGGATAAATGTCAATTGACAGTTGCATTGAATGTATTTAACTCATATTAAAACTCTTAATGTATAAACCACAAAAGTAGCGACAATTCATTGTGCAGACGTGACTGGATTACGAGTTACAACAGGATTACTCCACGGAAAGATTGAACCGCCGCACATTATTGGTAAGTATGTGAGAACAAGCATTCCGTGAAAGTTACTTAACGACAATAGTCAATAAAACACTCACTCACCCGCAGTACGTTGGGGTCAGGGATTGTGTAAAGCAAAGCGCATTAAGGTGACACAAAAGCAATATTTATTTGAATATCATGGGGCCTGTTCGGTCTAACACAAAAACGCTGCCATGACAACCCAATTGACACTTTTTTGGATTTTTAGAATCAAAGATATATACACACAATGGGCTAAAGTAGTATTTAAATACTTCATAACATAAAGAAACACCATCAGTAAACTCGTATACTGTATTTATAAACCTCATTTTATTGGACTTATACATCTGCAACATAGTGTACCTCGAAATCAATTGACTTTTCCATAGCATTTTGTTATTTTGAAATTCGGGGATCATAACATATGCTACCTGTTTATATGTGAAACAATACATTTTTTTACAGAAAGTATTTCGTGTTTAAAAAATTAATCAATTTGGTTAGGTGCTAACAAGAAAAACACATTAACCGATTCATGTACGCCAATCTCTGTTCTTCCCGACTGTCTGAGGTATTTGTATATTTATCACGAACTTAAGATCATATCTTGATTTGTGTGTGCTCAACCAAGAAACCGTTTCAACAAATTCAATATAAACACAACATGGCGATGTGACGTCTTAAACACAGTGATACAATGTATCTATGGATACATTGAAACTTAATCTTATGAAGACAATGAAGTAATTACAATATATGTCGTGCGATTTCATCACAGTGAGAAACTAAGAATATCCAATATAACGACAGGAATGCTCAGTCAAGAGTGCATGAATACTATTCTCAAGAGTAATATAATGAGATAAATACGAGGATCTCTGGGAAGGAGAATGGAGTCTGGTCAAAACGCCATGTTTGTTTTTATTATTAGAGGAAGTCTACGCGCGTAATCATTCCATATTTGGAACGCGCATTTGCTAATATGGTAGGATGGAAATACCCAGTACAATACCGCAAAAGTACAGCACGCTGTAACTTATGGCGTTACTGTGACTGATGTATAATAATACTCATTATTATGGATATTTAATTTCTGAAATACACACGTTGGAAACATAGTGAAAATTCAGAACAAATCAACACAACGTCAGTTAGGTTTTTGTTCAATTTTGATACTTTGCAACCATGTGCGAAAGCCCGATTCTAAACTGTTATTTGTTAGTTTCCAAAACAAATGATTCCTTTTCCACCAATCATTAATTTATGTAAACATTAGAAAATACATAAATAAACAAATCCGGAAAAACTGAAAAAAACTTATTAGATTGAAGGTGATTGAAAGGGCGAATAGCAATTCGGCGACCACGTTGCAGCTGGCTATTTCGTACAGTAATGAGAGACAATCATAGTGTTAGTTATACTACTACTCTGCCGCTATCGGTAATTAACGGACTGTTGTAGGGCTGAAGTTCGATAAAAATCCGAAGCATCTAAGGCCGAGGATTCTTACCTGACCGAAACTTCAAGTAATACAGCGAACTTAGCGTGTGTTTTTCGCTGCAGTCCGTTTACGGGTCGTGTGTTGTTACAGTGTACGTGTGTAACGTGAACACAAACCATTCTATCATTCTGTGTTGAGAGAACGAATTGTTTTGACATTCTAAAGTTTTATTGGTATATATATATATATGAGAACTCAGATGATTTCACATGACATCAAATTCATCGGTCTGCTATAGAACTTGAGTTCCTGACATAAACAGTCTGATTATAACGTGGCATGATATATAGTATGAATCACACGTGGAGCAGGATGTGATCACTCTTTTTTAAACACATCACATCACTTGTTGGCTTATGTATTTCTTGTTCTGTGTTAATGAGTTGGTATTTGTGAGATTGATTGTCAATAATGTTTTTATTTTTGTACATTTAAAATAAATACTGTGTTATTATTAAATATATTGATTAGTATGAAGTAATGTCTACTACACAGTAATTCGATTCAGAAGTAGTCGTGTAATTGAATATTGACTTATGATGGTAAGCTACCGAGGGAGTAAGAGTTATATAATGATCTCATTACACATAATTGAAAATGTATAAAGATAATATAGTGGTATATAGTAATAATGTAGTTGATTGTATATTGTTATTTCCATAATTCTTCGAATAATTTTGTTGTAAATATTGATAATATTTTTGACAACTGTATACTAATTGCTCCAACAATGAGGGTGGTTGTCAACAGAGAGCAACACAGAACTACAATATTGTTGCAGCGCTAGACTTCCAGTCACCGCAATATAAATCATTTTAATATACAACAAAACGTGTTACTATAGTAAGTGAAAACTGTCAATAGTAACTCGTAACATTTGCTTTATATTTGACAGCTTTTCTAAAACATTTTTCACAGTGAAAAAATAAAATATATCCAGGTTTTAACATTGAATACCTTATTATTGCAATAAAACATTTAACACTGGAAAAATATGATATTGCGTCACTCGTGATCAAGTGAATCATCTTCTTTGTGAAAGTGAGGTTTCTGAATAAAGGTTTATACAGTTTTTATAAAAGTGTGTCAACATTCCAAAAAAGTGTAAAATATAATTATAGTTGTACATCCGGCGCTCCAATTGGGTTGTCAACTCCAACATGACGTCACACTCACATTAAATCTCCTCATTTCGTAATTCATTTGATAATACTTACTGTAGAGCCCGTTAAATAACGTGGAAAGCATTAAGTAGGCGGCACGCTCGAGTGTTTGACATTTGACAGTACATTCTTCAATGCGCGAAATTGCCCAATGTCGCATTTCAATTGTGACAATGACTTAAATTTTTGCAGCTGACAAATTGCCATTAATCTGTGTGATTATTATCCAAGGAATACTATCCATACCACATGAGTAGTACTTTGGGTGCTTAATTTCTGTAGCAGCGATGCGTGTCGGAGATTGCCGCGGAACCATCAAGTCTGTTTATTTGCAACGAATATAATGTTATTAGATCTTAGTGCAAGACACCGTGAATGCTATAATTTGTAACCAAACGTGAAGATAATAAGTATGATTTGATTTATTTTTCATTTTGATTATTACAGAGTAAATATAGTTGCGTAAATATTCGTAATTTAAGTAATCAACCATAAACAATCAATCTTTAATTAATTGAAAGGTTTTTAATCTTCCTAAGAGATGAGGATAATAACTATTAAAAGTGTTAGGGGCAAGGTGTCAGGATGGATAGAGTCGACATGTGTATTAAAAGTAAAGCATTATCAATATCCAAAGCGTGATTTCACAGAAAAAAAATACTCAGCGTAATTGTGATTTTTTGCACTATAAAAAGCATATTATGCCTTTACGTATGATTGGCACTCTCTCTCAATACGAAAACATCGTCTAGCCATGCGATTAAGGTTTGTAGCCGATCATCCGAAGTTGCGATATGAGTAGGAAGTAGGCATAACTAGCTTAACAGCCATTTTAAAGGTAATTTAAAAAAAGAGTATTATCTGATTCACGTTTTAACAAAAGACATTAGTATGCCGTGTTTCTCTCGATTCATTGGTGCTGGACTGCATCCTGATTCCATTACTGCGGACTAGATTAGCTGTAAACTATTTTTACCCCCATTTTGCTTATCACCATAACTGATGCATTTATATATCTTTGATTATGGTAATGGCGAATACATTACCATTATGCAAATGATC